TTTTATTTACCATACTGTGAACCTGCTGATGGTTCGGTAGTGTAATAAAGTTATTATTATTATTATTTATAAATATAAATTTGCATAAATCAAAATGGCTGTTAGATTTTGAATTGATCAATCCAGAATGGTTATTGTAACATTCAACATCATTCAACCAGTAAGTGCTTCATAGTCACATTTTCTATGTCAAATGATGACATGCACACACACACACACACACACACACACACACACACACACACACACACACACACACACACACAATACTGACAATATTGAGCTCTTGAACCAAAATAATTGCTTAAAATATTGTGTATTGTACATTGTGTATAGTGTTTTTTTTTCTTTTCAAGATATATATGTGCACCCAAAATAATTTATTATTATGTGCTTTTCCATTAAGGTAGAGATGCAGTTTACTTGACAGATATTTTAATTAGTTAATTAGGCAACCAAGATGACCAAGCTTATTGTATGAATTTTGAAATTTTGTAAGTATTTTTTTTTATGGACACTGTAGTTTGAAATATGCACAAAAATGTGTTTTTTTGGTCAAAAGTGATTTAAACAAAACAAGTCATTGAAAATGACACAGTCCCCGTTAAATTTTTGAAAGTTCTCTTTGTGCTCGTCATATTAAAGCGAAGGGGTTGTCGCGAGCGTGTCCTTGAAACTTGAGTTCCAAGTGGCATATACAGCAGATTGCTTATTTACATCAAAACACTACGTGTTCCGTGTAGTAGTAATATGGCCAAAAATAAAATAAATGTTATTCGTCCATCTTTGATCTGATTATGAAACACACTGATATGTATGATGTATGTGCCAAATACGAATGAAAATGGTACATAAATTGTGGAAATATAGTAGTAAGGCCATAAAGTCAGACGGCTGTCAATCGGCCATCCTTGACCAGATTTTGAAACAAATTATCATGGACATGCATCTTAACATGTATAAAGTACATGTATGTGCCAAATTTGAATGAAAACTGACAAAGCATGTCCAAATTACAACATTTTCAAAAAACAAGATGGCTGCCAATCGGCCATTTTGAATCGAATCGCTAAACCACTGCATGTGCATATGTCCCACATAAAGTACTAGGCACATGCAAAGAATGAACGGAATCGGTCCAAGGGATTTTGAGATATGACTCGGACGGACGCACAGACACACAGACGGAGACCGAACTACAAGTCCCCGTTTTCGGACTTCATCCGAACAGGGACTAATAAGCTTCTAAACCATGCCTATGTTTTCTGTCAAAATTGGTTTACGGGTACATCTGTTTACTATGAAGAAAGTGCCGTCTTGAAAACTGTCTACTAGTTGTAAATTTTGCTGGGCAGCAGTTCAACTTTCACTACTTCAAGTTTATGCATAAATTAACACCCAGGCTAGTTGTCTGTACGATTGTTGTAACACTGTTCAACCAAAAACGAAGCCCCAAAGGCATTTTGAAGATATACACAACAAAGTTTAGTTTGTATTCTCTGAAGCAGCTGGTTTATACACTTTACTTTTAATTGAATGTGCACATATATTAAAACAGTTACAAATGTGTTTTGCCACATCATTCATAATAATTTCATCCATATTGTTTAAAAATATTCCATAATAACACTACATTGTTGTTGTCTTGAGAAATGGTATGTTTTGTGAACAAATTGTCTCCTTCCTTAAATATTGCTCATTTTCAATTTCTTTAATTTCACAAAATGAAAATTTTCCATCAGGGATTGGTAAATTATTGTACCTTCCCATTGCGATCTGTAAGTGATGGGCACTTTTCTTCAGTTTGGAAATTGCAGAGCGATATAGTGGGTTATTATATTTATTATAGTATTTCTCAAGTGAAAAGTCTATTATAAATTTTCTGTCAATTCTCAGTTTATTTTAATGATTTGTGCCTTTGTTGTCATTGTGCATAAATACTTTACATCTTTTCTAAAACTGAGATCTAAATTTTTCACAAATGTCTTCACTATATTTTAACTCACTGTTTTTCCAAATGCTCAGTTTTAAATCATCTAATATTTGAATCACACTACCCAATTTGGCATACCTAAGTTATAATGTATTTTAAAAGGGAACCGATATTATAAATAAGGGTCAAGATGGCCACCGTATTAGTATGCTAATCCGAACCAAGCAGCTAACATCGTGGCGGGAGCTCTGTGAAATATGCCATTTACGATGTTTGGAGATCAAGCTATGGTTCCAAATACATATCCACGGGGCATGAATATGTACGCTAGCGATTACACTCGTCTGGTTGGGCTTTTGATGTATAAATGTTGTTATTTTCGGTCGAAACGTGTCGCGACCAGTGAAAATCACGAGTTTAAAATGGTGGCTAATGTATGCAAAATTCCTGTCAATCACAGTTTGAGTAAACGAAAATGTAAATCCCCTAGATGTTTATTCAATCTACAAAGCTTGTTGGTTTACAAACAGCCATATCGTTACGTAGTTTGTCTATGTCTAACCACCTCCATGGTCTAACCATTGGTAACACTGGGACATGACGATGTAAGACAGTAAACAATTTCAATAACATTAGGTTACAGGCTTTCGAATATCCATTGCAATAAATTGAATGTAGAAGTAGAAATCATTCGCTTGGTTTTAATTTCGCGGTGAGTCCAAAAGCACGAAAATAAAACCACGCATCTATGTACCAAGTCCTGTTGAAATGTAAAACACAAAACCCAAGTCAAAACAACACTCACTCCTGACCCACAACCTTACGAATTTTACTGTAGTCATTGACGCCTATTCAAGAGTACGATGTTTATTGTGGTTAGCGTGAATGGGTAAAGCTTCGCTTTGACAATGAGCTGTTATCACCGTAAAAATGTTAAATTAGTCTTCAAATGGTCAGTTTATCATCAAAAACAACTAATGTTTTGATTTCCAAAAAAAAAACATGCCGTCTTCCCATCAAAACCAGAGGTAAAAGATGGAAAATCGGCAAATCTCCTCTGTTTCGATAATTTGAACACGTTGGCATCACCGAGTATTTTGACTGGCTGATGAGCGATTTGACCTATAAGGTGTCGAGCATTTGCATGCGACCGGAATCTTTCGCTTACGATGAAACTAAATTGAAATTTACTTGCATTTCAGAACAATTCAACGAGTTTACTTTTTATACCTTATTAATAATCACTACCAAGTAATAATAATAATTGTGAAACGTAGCATGGTCGGATTGCGCTACCGTGATTATTTGCTACTAAGCAATGCAGTATTCATTTTTTAAAAACTTTTTTATGTTTTTGATTGTATGGCAAAAGCTTGCATTTTCTAAGGGATGAAACTTTTTGTATAACTTTCTAGACAGTCTGGAAAAAGGAAGGGGTACAGTGAATAAGTGTCAGACTTCAATGAGCTGCAAATGGTAGTTGTGTAATACTGGTAGGCGTGCAGGAAATAACCGTTCTGTTACATGTTCCAAGTTTCGGATATCAACAAGACATTGGCCTGACTGCTTCGTATGGCTTACCCTTTGTTTTATTTTTCGCGAAATACTTCGACAGCTTAAAACCGCGTAATTAGATGTTTCCACAGCACACACCACAGAGTACAAGAAGTAAATACGCCATGCTTGAAATGCATGAACAACAAGATGTTAATAAATAAATCAGTTTTTGTTTCTGTATTTGACTGTAGGACGAAACGGCACCCAGACAACACGTCACAGGCAGTTCCAATTCATATCTTTTACAATAGATTGTTTTCGTTCATGCATCGCATATATGTCCAGAAAATTTAATCGAGTGTATGTGTGTATTTATATTCTATTTTTGGATTCTTATTTATAATAAATACAACGTTGCAGATTGGTCGTTAACATCGAGTCTATGGTAAAATTGTTTTGACAGAACGCTCTTCTCCCCCTCACCGCTCATTTGATTTTGAATGTAAAGTCAACCCGACGTTCACCCACCAGATCACAAGAACTCAAATCTCACACGAGATACAAGCCGGTACCACCTGTGTACATTTTGATTTTCCACACAAGTGTCGTAAATAGGTTACAAGATAAGCCTGTGATGTCACGGCGACTTTTCTTTACTAATGATTTTGATATTTTATCACGGGAATTTCCGTATAATAACCTGTACTTATAATATACAGTAAACTTTTTCATTGTCGTCTCCACCAATTAGTCAATATTATATGGAAATTTGAGGGCAATAGTAAATACACATTCTATTTACCGATTTGTGACAGAAATATGAAAACCGAAGTCATTGACTTTGTGTTTTCACACTTGTTATATTAGCAGTCTGGAGGATTAGTATGTATACAGAATCTGCATAGGAAGTTTCGTTCTCAGGTTTACTGTATACAAAATCAGTACTGTCAATAGACTGACGCAAAGGAAACAGGCAAATAAATTTGAGTTGGCGTATTTTCTTCACGACCGTTTAGCAACAATCTGGTCGTGTGTATCCGGCGGACTGCCGCCCTTTCTTGTTGGCCATCATCAACTTGAATTAGTTCCGCGTCATATTGTTCCGACGATGTATAAATTACCGAGCGCGCGATGTTTCAAATCATGGCACATGAAGACTGCTCTGTATTTGTTTGAAATTCAATTGCTATGTTATATTTAAACAAGCAAATTGTAATCCGTTCTTAGGATGTTTATATCAGTTGTTGTTTTGTGGGATTAGCGGTACAGGGGGAAAGATAAGCATTCACTCAGTGGACAGAGGCGGAGTTAATTTCCCATGATACATGTACCTGTTTCATTTTGATGTAAACATGAAAGGTTAGTTTGCGAACACCGGGTTGACTCGGGGTTGACACCAGGTTTACTCCGGGTTGACACCGGGTTGACTCAGGGTTGACACCGGGTCTTGATATATAATTAAATGTGATATTATATAATTACTGTTCAGACTGAAAACACTACTTATTAAGTCTAGACATAACAGCATTAAACAAACGTTCACAATAAAACAATAGATTTGTTTACATACCATTATAGCGAAGTTCAACCTGTAATTTCAACCAAGCTTTGTCGTGCACTTTCCTGGAAGCACCGCCCGTATTTGCTGTTATCTTATAAGTAACGATGATACTCATCAAAAATCACTGCTCCGAGCAATTAGCCTGACTCTTCCTCCCCACAAATGAGCCTTCAGGTAGATATATGTCCCGTTGCACTATTTGTGGAATATGACACATTGAATAACGTTTTGTTCTGGTTTGCTTGGTCCCTCATAGGCGATTCTCGGACCATACTCAACATCACGCAATAAACGAGACTTGAAATTCAGTTTAAAGATTATTTTTTTGAACACAATTGCAATGTTTACATTTAAAATTTTCCCGAATATTGCATATATTTTGTAATTATTTAAAGATATGATTATGCTGATAACGAAAGTTTAATTTTACAATAACTTTAGGTTTGATATCACATGACCTCAATTTAGGAATCCAAGATGGCGGGGCTCAGTC